TTGTGAGCGAGTTCGGCGGAGATGTGCAAGATGGCAGTCTTGAGGCTGGGGAGGGAAAGCAGGTCCTCGCACTTTCCACCACATCATCCAACTACTTTCTGACTAATCAACGTGGTCCCATGGACTGATCAATGATGGGTAGACTACGCCTTCGCATCAAGGTGCAATACCGTACATGGAGCTGAGCGATGTTTTTCTAGCTCCGACTTCCTTGTGTGCCAGCGTGCCATTGAAGCGTGTGCTATCGCCTTAGAGGAAATTTGAAACAAGGGCAACATGATAGGCATGAAAACTGTTGCAACTGGGTCATCGGTAAGGAAAAACCAGGAGTAGACAGCTCATTATGAATTAAACTTACATGGCCCCAGAACCGTCGACGCAAACGAGCAAATATTGAAGATATTAAAACAAGCTATTGCGAAACAGGGACGCTCAGCAGGCGATAGGAAATGAAGGCAAAAAGAAAATGATAAAACCCAAAGAAGGAAATGTGGAGCATACTGCCTTCTTCCGATCCTGGCAAATAGCACATGAGATATGGCAATTTTCCCTTCCCACACATTCATAATTCCCCAATGTCCAACCCACTTGCAAATTAGTTTACTTTCCACCAGACCTTCTTCTTCCCTACTCCTCGTTCATCCAGCTTGAAACTAGAACCACCCACGAGCCTTAAGCCCGGTCCGGACGGTCACGGTGGCCGTAGCCCGAACAGTAACCCTCGAAGTTACAGTCGTAGGCCGGATTGAGATCGTTGTTATAGTCCTCGACTGGACGATCGTCGTTGGTCTTATAGATATTATTGTAGTCCTCAGGGTTCGTTGCACCGTGGTAGGCCGGATTGAAACCGATACGGAAACCGATGTAGCCGTGGTCTGAAAGTGGAAGATTATGATCAGTAAAGTTCTATTCTTGTCCACTCTCTCAAAGAGTTGATTTGAGAGAGTGATTCTGGAAGATATAACTCACCGTTTCCAGGCGTGTTGAAGTAATCGTACTACCGGGTAATGTGCGCGTAGTAGTCACAGGTGAAGCTGCTTTTGTCGAGGTCTGAACCGATGTGAGGGTAGAGAAGCGCGTGGTTATCGCCGAAGCTGTTGATACCACTTGCCGGGTAGTAGTTTCAGTTTGTGTAACAACTTGAGCTGGCAAGGTCACCTGGGAGATCTGGGTAATGGTTTGCGACGATACGGCGTAGATGGTAGTCGTTGAGGTAGTTGTGGGGCCAGGGACGGGCGAGTTGCTTGGGCACTGCTTGGATGTCAACACAGTAACGTAGACAGTAGATGGATCATAGGGAGCGGCGCTAGCGGTGATCGTCACGGTTGGCCCTTGGCGTGTTATAATCATGGGCGTGGGCTCGATAAATGCGGTGATAGTTTGGGTGGACACAGGCCCAGGAACCTGGACAGACACAAAGCTGAAAATTGGTGTTAGCTAGGAAGAAAACTTGTGGGGGAGAAGAACAGATTGGAAGAGGCTTCTCTTGGGTTTCTGGAAATAGGGCTCCAGGTCCTAAAAAGGCCAGAGTGGTCAAGAAAAAGAAGAGAAAGGCTTACCTAGTCACCACTGGGCCGGGCGTGGTGATATAGTTATCACGAGTGATGACCGAAGCACCTGTCGTAATATACTGGGTACTAAAGTAGCTCGAAGCAGGCAGGGCTGTGGTGATATATATTGTTGAAGCGGGCAAAGTTTGTATTGGGCCAGCCGTGGTAACATAGATTGTTGAAGCAGGCAAAGTCTGTAGTTGAAGTGGGCCGGCCGTGGTAACGTAGATTGTTGACGCAGGCAAGGTCTGTAGTGGGCCAGCTGTTGTGACATAGATGGTTGAAGCGGGAAGGGTTTGGACGGGCCCAGGGGTTGTGATATAATATTCTCGAGTCACGATTGAGCCACCCGTAGTAATTATTTGCGTCGTCGTATATCCCTGAGCCGACAAGCCAGCGGTAACAAACACCGTTGCAGCGGGTAACGCGGGACCTGGGGTCGTTATATACACCGTAGAGGCGGGAAGAACCGACTGTAATTACTGGGTTAGCTAGCGGAGAATGGGCAATGGGATGAGACATACCGCGCTTTGCGTTTGCGTCAACGTCACAATACTCACGATAGGGCTTGCGGAGAGGAATGAAGTGATCTGAATCTGTTAAACGAGGGACAAGACTAGATTTATGGTAGGAAACATACCGCACTTGCGCTTTGGGTGACTGTAATAACGCTGCCACCCGTAGGACAGGAAGGGCCGGCCGTACTGGAGGGCTCTGAAGATGATGCAGGGAGCGAGCTAGCCGTTGGCGCTCCACTTGTTGACATGACACTTGAAGAATATACAGAGGAAGATGTGCCGCTCAAAACGGATGTGGAGCTGGAATCCGGGCTGAGGCTTGTTGAAGCGCTGGCTTCCATCGACGATACCGAACTGCTGATGTCCGAGGAAGAAAATGTACTAGATGAGAGAGAAATACTCACAGAAACTCCCGCGCCAGCGCCAACACCTACACCGCCTGCAGCGCTGGAACTGGACGGTACCAAGCTGGAACTGGACGGAACTACAGCGACGCTCGATGAAACGGAACTGGATGGAACCGCCACAGCGACGCTTGAGGAGCTACTCGACGGGGCCACCACAGCGACGCTCGAGGATGGAATTATGGACGATGAGCTGGGTGTATCGCCCAGTATTAAGCTAAGCGCAACCTGATTTCATTTATTAGCAAGGCCATCATGGTTAGCAAAAGCCTGTGTGCTGTGCTTGAAAACAAAGGAAAATGAAAAGAAAGATTGTCGGGTATCAGCAGTTCGTATCCTGTGGGAAAGAGAGAACCATCGGAGAGATGGGGCAGATATAACATAGAGCGAGGGGGACTGCAGATTGCATCAAGACTTTGTATTGATAGTATCGAGGCAGACGCGTTTCACGCGCCAAATGCAACTTGCCACATTCTCAGCGAGACTGGGAATGCGTCCCACTGTGACTCCAGGGAGGAAAACAACATGCCGAGAGCTGATGTTTTTATCCCTTCGTTGCCATCACAAGCTGATACGATTGGTAGACATTCGGGCCATTTCCCATACGGATGGTCTGGGCCTGGCTAGAGTTGGAGCTCCTTACTTAGGGTAGGAAAACACTTGCAGTCAGGAAACGAAGATGAGGTGTGCTCGGTGGAAATGATCTGTCCAACCGAATGGCAGTTGCAAACATGCAGGTGCAAATGAGGACGAGACGAGACCGAGATGTGGCGCATTTCAGCCACAATCAATTTCCTTAGAGTACCACGACATCAACATTCAATTTCTACAGGTTTAGACGTCAAATTGAGTCAATTGCATTTCCTTTCAGGTCTAAAAACCTTCCATACCGAGTTTCAATTTAAGAATAACCCCCGTCACCCTAAACAATTTGCTCCTTCCATTCCAAGCTACAGAGAGCAAAAGCTAATACTAAAATAAATGAAAACAAACGACTAGAAATCATATTGAAGAGCCCTAAAGTGAATACGAACGACCCTCGTCGAAGAAGCGAAAAACTTAAGCCTGCAACAGTTCCAATCCGAAAATCATCCTGCAGATCCCCAATGTCCCCACTTCCTCATTTCCTTGGCCTTCCCCTTTGTTTAGTACCTGCTGTTGATGGTCCTAGTCGTGGTCTTGGTTTTTGTTGTCGTCGTTGGTTTGCAGTTGGTGATCGTCTTAGTTGTACCATTGCCTCTGACAGTGACGGTCTTTGTTGTACCATTGCCTTTGGCAGTGACGGTCTTGGTTGTACCATTGCCTTTGGCAGTGACGGTCTTTGTTGTACCATTGCCTTTTGCAGTGACGGTCTTCGTTGTACCATTGCCTTTGGCAGTGACGGTCTTCGTCGTACTCTTGCCTTTTGCGGTGACGGTCCTCGTCATATCCTTGCCTTTGGCGGTTACGGTCTTCGTCGACTTCGAGGTTTTCTCAACATATTTTGTGCTAACGGAAACTCTGGTGGTGGTGATCGTCTTGCTGACAGTGGTGGGGACACTAGAAGGGCAATTGTAGTCAGTTATGTGTTCCGTAAGGCAGGGTGAGGAACGCGGGCTGAAGCACTGTGCTAACAGATAATTCAACACCGATTGAGATTGAGGTGCTGACGGACGTTTCAGTAACTGTTTCAGTAACTGTTTCAGTCTCTGTTGATGGGTTTCCATAGTTGTTGCCGCCTTCGTCTCCCCCATCATCGATGACCTCTCCTTCTCCTTCTCCTTCTCCTTCTCCCTCTCCTTCTCCCTCTCCCTCCCCCTCTCCCTCGCCCTCGCCTCCTCCACCTTCATACAGAGCGTCCTGCAATGATTAGCGTATAATAAAATGGGTGAAAGTTCCTGTGTGCTGTGCAAGTGCAAAGAAAAAGTGAGAATCAAGGTAGGCCATCCCTCCATCTAGCTGGGAGCCATTCCCAGCTTCCCATCATCATGATGAGCTGGTGAACAGGCAGGAGAAAAAAGTAGAGGAACCCAAATGATCCTCTGTAGACGGCTGGAAAATATGGGGGGGCACAATGTCTACCCCGCTCATCCTCTGCCCTTAAAAGAAACGATGGTCCACACACGATATGCATTCTTGGCAAGTTGTCTTCTCCTAAGCAACGGAATGTAATGTGCTAATACTCCCTCGCGTGAGGCTAGATTTGTTTTGATTGAATGTTGAGGAATGTGTCAACAGAGAGGCGGATTGTGTCATTAGATAGTGGGAGAGAGGGAGGGAAGCGCAGCTCTAGCAAAAGCTCTTTCTCTTCGTGCGCGGTTATTTCGCATCCCCACACAAAAACAAGTTTTTATTCAGTAGAATGAATGGACGCACTACCAACTGCAATTAGAATCCGCACTGTCTAAAGAAGGCAAATCAACCACCCACTAAAATATCGCGCTTCGAATCATACACTCAAATATAAATCGCACCAGCCCCAGGTGTTCTCAAAACAAATAGAAAAAGCGCCAAAAAAGGTGGGGGGATGGGAAAAGGGAGAAAAATACTGGGCCAGCTGGGAATCGAACGCCAGGTCTCCCGCCGATGTCACGACAAACTCATGGCCAGACATGGCAGGTGTTCTACCACTGAACTACCGGTCCTTCTTGAATTATACTAGAATTCCGTTAATAATAAATATATGATATGTTTAACACCGCAAGGATGGATGAAATCACTCATCAATACGCATTATACACGCAAGAAATCCGTGCTTGAATGGCAACAGAAACTAAAGGTTGATGACTGTTACGCAAAAATTAGCCCTTTGGGGTTTAGCTATGCGCATTCGCCGTGCAAGTCTACAAGTAGATGTAGCGGTGAGATAGCAAAATAATAAAAGGTGGGCGATGAAGCAAAAAAAGAATAATTTGGACCAGCTGGGAATTGAACCACAGGTCTCCCTCGGGCACACCCGAAGAGCTGTTTAAACAGTTCTTCGGGCGTTCCCTCAGGTGTTCTACCGCTGAACTACCAGTCCCGTTCGAATTATACTATTCTCCCATAAATTAAAGGAATATGTACATGAAAAAAAGTAACTGCCCTAGTCAGATTTTAACGTGAGCAAAAGTAGGCAACACAATGTCACACAAACATTTACTAGCCTTACGCGGCATCTAGTATTATGGTTTTCAGTAATAAGGGGGCCACCCCAGGTGTCAAAAACGCTTAAAAAATCACCCCATTACCTGATTAGGAAGGTCATGAATACAGTGCAATGGGTTCCAAAATCGGGTAAATTTCGCCCGTATTTTCACGTATTTTGGAATACAATACATCCACGCTTTGGTACACTATATCAATCAATTACGTCGTTGATTATAGGGATGGTTTTTTGGTGTTGATAGTGTATATACGGGCTCACCCACGGCCCTACCCTTGCCCTCAGTATCACCTTTTCGTCTATTTCAATATGAATACTGGCAATAGGATTCCTAGGCATAAACTACAGC